GGCTCGATAGATAGTTCAAAATGATTTCACTGAAACTCGATGCATTTCAGTTTATTTTTGGTCAACATTGTGCATAAATAAGCAAATATAAAATGTGTGAGATTATTCATCTTTCTGAATAACTTTCAAAACCTGCAAACAAATTTAAGAAGCAAATATTATATCCAGTGGAATTACTCTAATTAATCTCAAATCAATTACTACAGGAACATCAATACTAAAACTAAAATTATATAAATGTCCAATTCTGCTCTTTAATCAATTTTTTTTTTTTGCTGAAATTCAAATCGTATTGGAAAATGCTGCAACTTCCATCGGTTTCGGAAGAAATTAAATCACCAGGAAGAAAAATATTTTCGGTATCAAGCACTGAACTTCTTTTGGTTAAATTATTTTGTACCTAAAACGATTTCATTCTTTCCCTCAAAAATATATTCACTGCTTTTTTTTGCGAAAAGAAAAATTGGAATTCTTAATTTTGATCAAAAACAATGTCTAATTCAGCCACAGACATGAATACTCACAACAAATTTCAAAACTAAACTTTAGGATAGATATGTAGTTCGAAGGAAAGATTTCATGACATTATTCAGCATATATTAATTAAAAACATTAATTATGAGTGATAAAGTATAATTTTTGCCTTTGGTTAATATTACCTCACTTTTCAAAGTTTGGAAAAATTGAAGCGAAGGGGAATAAAACTGTGTAAAAAATATTGCGAGAGATTTGCATAAATTAATCATTTTTCACAATTCAATATGGCAACTGAAATGAATTTATTCAGTATAAAGGATTAAACAGTGTTTGCTATTGTTACATCAATACACGTGAACGTAAGCTACCGATACATATGGCTAACCACTTCCAATAAAATTAGCATTTATACCAGTGATCTTCGATCAGTATCAAACAGAAGTGATTGGGTGCTATATGACAAAATTTTATTTTGGGCTTAACATAAGGTGATTTGCATTTCGAACATTTCTCGGCAAATATGAGGTTATCACATTGGCAGTATAAAATATATTTTAAAAAATAGAAAAAATTGATTTGATGGACACTTTTCAGTTACATATCTCGTCTTACTTTAAAACGGTCATGATCTACCTTAAAGTCTGAATTGAACATTGATATGTTATGAAATAAATGATAGCAATGGGTTTTACCAACTCAATTCACAATCTGGACAAGTACTGTTTGCGGTATCATATTCATCGGTTTCTCTAAAATAAGTTAGAAATGATCCACTGATATTATCAAGTTCTATCATTACTGAATGATCTGTGATGTAACATAAACATATTACGTCATCGCAAGTTGAAATAAATCAAAACATAGCAACTGGTTACCAATTGGAATTTTTCTATTCCATTTTTCGATGTTAAATTATGACAATTAAAATATTACATGTCTCTATAATGATTCATGTATTTAATGACAAAGACGTGCGATACTTTAATTTTCATAAATCCCGAAAATGAGCAAATTCTGATGAGCAACCGAAAAATATCCATCAAATCAATTCTTTTCTATTTTTTTTAGAATATATTCTATACTACTAATGTAACTTCATGTTTATTGAGAAATGTTCGAAATGCAAATCACCTTCTGTCAAGCCCAGAATAAAATTTTGCCATGTAGCACCCAATCAGTTCTATTATGTATTATTAGTTCAGGTTTGGTGAAATTTTTTATTAGTCTCAGACTCAGGTTCAGGTTTGGTGAAATTTTGGTAAGGTTTTTGCCATTTTTTGTCGGTATATTATCGATCGGATATATTGATCACCATAAAAAATTACTGATCATGTTGCGCACTAGCCATTATTTTTAGAACTACTGCTTATGGTAATGCTTTTACTACTGCTATTGCTATTTGCATTGAAACTTGTAGCATTGAAAGTTATGCATTGGAACTATTCCATTGAAACTTGTGCTGCTTGCATTGAAACCACTAAAATTTGCAAATTATCATAGTGTCCACAAGTTCAGTTCAAATTTCCTTTGTCAAATCAATGTGACTGGCATTTCTGAAAAAACTTTGCTAACAATTGTTTCTAGAGAAATGAATGGAAGTAAAATGTAATAAAAATTGCAAATGATTTTGTGACAGCTTTACATAAATTATTTTTCACA